AACAAAAACAGAAATTGCTGGAAATGCTCATCAGGTCTGGCAGCATCGGCGGAGAGAAATCAGAGTTAATGTTTCGGGTCGAGTGACCCTTCCTTGAACCAGTTCTGAAAAACATTAATTCTGATTTCCCTCCACCGATGCTGCCAGCCCTGCTGAGCTTTTCCAGCAATTTCTGTTTTTGCTCCAGATTTACAGCATCTGCAGTTCTTTCAGTTTTTATGAAGTAGTTCACTTTGTGTTGATTTAGTTCCTGTCACATCCATTCACATTCGCTAGCTGAGCATATCCAGCACTTATTAGATCTGGAAAAATGAGTTCCCAACAAGTTTGGCCAATATTCTGCAAGATCACATTAATAACACAGAGCTTTATTTAAACTGCTATTACTTTAGTCCTTAGAGAGAGCTTCCTAACTTGCAAACTAAGTTTGAGGTTTGAAGATGTTACCCTTAAACCAAAAATCATTACCTTATTCAACTTCTGTCAGAAAATACAGTTATACCAATTGAACAAGTTTTTTTTTCTATGTCCTAGGGAATTCAGAATCAATCTTTTAAATGCTTTTCGTCTTGTAGCAGTCACGTATCTTTTCACAGGATCCTATTTTTCGAGAATATGATTCCGCAGTTTCAGAAATGCTGATTTTAGGCAACACACTGAAATAGAACTGGTATGAGCAATTGTACAGTCTACTCACCATAATGGGAAGCCAGCTGATTTAGGAAAGGCTCATAAGAGCATCAAAATTGAACTGAAAAGCCCCAATTCCCAAGAATTCCCATTGAGCATTCATAGTGCCCGAACATCCATAGAAGCATTCCTTCAAAGTGATGTAATGCTCATAAAAGCACCATTATACCCTACCAGCGTTTCCACAGATGTCCATCTGGCTGCACTGTCAGTATCTACAACAAGCATTTATCAAAACTGTTTTGTGTTATTTATTTCTTGGATAAGGGTTGATAATGAAAACTCCAGATTCAAATAGAATTGCTGTCCTCACTTTGAACATGGGGAGCACATATAGGGGATTTCCACTCCTAGGAATCAACAAGCCTATTTAGTTTCAGGCAGTTTACTGCATCTCTGGTCTGGAAGGTTATGTTGGGATATATCTGTGAGTAACCCTCTGATAGAGTGCATTTTTGATTCCTGTATAGGATGTCTGGCATGACACAACAGTGATGCATAGTAACAATGCCAGGTTTTCATAACAGGAAGGAAAAGCAAGTGGAATTGTATACTTCTTTGTTTCTATATATACTGTTACATCATTATCTTGTCTGAACTGTTGCAGATAGGTTAGTTGGGATAACACAGCAGCTTGATGTTATGAAGGATGAATTGATTTTGTCTCAGGAACCATATTGCAGTTCCATAAGACATCTATAAAGACACCAGTCCGCAGGGCCACATGAGGCAAGCAACCACAGTCAGAATGCAGTGGAATACTCATCTCTTGAGACCACTATATTAGGGGAATGAAGGTGTCTTGGCCTAGAGAGGCTTCTCTGAATAAGAGCCAATTTGTCAGTGACCACTATGCAAAATGATACAGATGTAATAGTCTCCTGACAAGCTCTGTAGTTGTTACAAAAAAAATCTGCACTTACCACCACTGATGGAGTTATACTTAGATGTTGGTTAGCATGGGAATAACCATGACTGAATAAACTGAACAAAAACTTTGCTAATTTCCATCCTGGCTGTTGCTCCTGGTGTCTCTACCAACTTTAGTTCCTCAACTCCATTTCCAAGAACCAGTTAACTATATCATATTTCTCCTGCCTGATTCTTCTATCCTCATTTAGTTCCAGTCTTAATTAAGTTTTCATAGATACAGCATCAGCAATGAACTTGTTCCCATCCACTCACCATTTGTCCTTTCTCTGCCTTTTCCTCACCTACATGACCCCTATGGTATCATGATCTCCACCATCAAAATCCTGGATGTTACTATTAACCAGAAAACACACCAGACCAGCCATTCGCTTACTGTGGCTACAAGAGCCAGTCAGAGGCTAGGGATTCTGCAATGTAACTCATCTCCTGATTTCCCCAAAGCTTGTCTACCATCATCAGGGCATGAGTCAGGAGTGTGATAGAATACTCCCCACTTGCGTGGATGCATGACACTCCAAAAACACTCAACGCAGTAAAGGCGAAAATGCTGTATGATTTCAAGGAGGAGGTGGATACAGTACTTGGGGCTCAAGGGATTAAAAGATATGGGGGAAAAGGGGGAACAGGCTATTGATTCGAATGATTGGCCATGATAACAACAAATGGCAGAGTAGGCTCAAAGGGCCAAATGGTCAACTCGTGTTCCTGTTTTCTATGTTTCACAAGGTTTGACAGCGTGTGTACTATCCAGAAGATGCAAATTAGTAAGTCACCAAGACTACTTTGACAGCACCTCTAAATACACAATCCCTACCATGTAGAAGGGCAAAAGTAGCAGATGCATGGGAACACCATCACCTACAATTTCTCTTCCAAACAATTCTCCCTTGGAATGCTAATCACTGGGTTGCTGAAATCTTTGCAACAACACTGATGGTTTACCTACACAACATGGGCTACAGCAATTCAAGGTAGCAGCTCACTACCACCCTCTAAAGGCATTCTGGGATGGGTAACAAACGATGGCTATCAAGCAATGCCCAGTTGCTGTGGGGGATTTGAATCTATGCCTCAAAGCACTACCTTGAACCTCTGGATTATTCATCCAGCAGCATTACCAATATGTCACCGTCTTGCCTTGATAAGCCCAATGGTCTTTCTATCCAGCTTTTATCCTGCATGCTTGATAAAATTCAGGTATTCTAAAACACTAGTTTTGCTATTCTAACTTACATCAAGTCTAACTCACCCACTTGTTATCCCTCAATATATTTCTTCTCACCCCTCCTTGTTTTCAAATCAATCATGACCATTCTGCTCATCATGTGTCTAATCTCCTATCGCAATACACCCTACCTCACCGTCCCCTCAGTTCTCCGACACTAGTCTCTTATATATCCTTCCCTCTGCTTGTCCCAACATTGGCAGCCATGCCTTCGGTCTTCTAGACCCTTTTCTCCTCAATTCTCTCTAAACTATTTGACATCCCCTTTCTCTACTAAACTACCTATTTCACTCTCCAATAACTATGAATTAATGAAGTAATTTTGTGAAGTTTTTTTGACATTACAAGCACTATGTCTATGCGATTTACTGTTCCTTGTGCAGAAAAATCAGTCAAAATTGTGTTCGCTAAAAGTCTCAAGGCATGCCCCATGATATGGCCTTTTATGAAGGGTTAAAAAAAGAATGATCACTCAACTGAAAGGCAGTGCAGCTACCATTTCTCCAAGGATTATTGTTTTGCTCCTTAAATGGGAGGACAGCAATTTTAATTTGATGTTTGTAGGCTGAATAAACGAGAAAGACGCATATAAAACAGGAAGGTAATAATGGGCAAGGATACTTCCCAATTTTCCAGTGCTTAGTCAAATCATAGCTGCAAGTAATAGCTGAACAGTGCAACACAAAATGAATGTCTAGGAATTGAAAAAAAAGCACAGTGTAAGCAACACCTAAACCATTCCTTTAGAATGACTAATACTCTGAGCCACAGAGTGAAGGGGAGAAAGTAAGAAAATGAGCAAAATTAGCAGAAAGTGAGTCAGTGTGCAGTAGAGAAGGAGAAGAAGTGTATGAGAGTAAGGCCTCTGGAGCTTGGGACGTACCGCTGACTCTGAGACCGAACTCACTTCGGCAAGGCACTTGATACGAGCTTTGGACACTAGAGAGCCCTAATGGAAGACAGGAATGGAGATGGATATGGCACTCAACAGACACACATGCAGTTTCTATTCTAGGTACAGTACATTTAAGTGAGGCATTGCCACAGGCCAGAATTAATCATAAAACTTCATGAGAGTAGTCTAGTAATTGAAGGGTCATCAAACTTGTTTTCACCCAGACTTTAAATCAACACAGCACTGTTTCTTTTCAAATCACATTTTCCAATACTGGAAACATTAACAACAGCTGCTTTAGAAAAGGTCAAATTAAGAAATGGCATCTCTTTTGTTTTAAAAAAAGTCTTCTCACTTGGATTTATGTACGTGAAAGGCTAGTTTTATATTGGAGACAGTTTTATCTATGGGACTCCCTTTTCCTCCAATTCCCAGAACACCAAGAAGGCAGCATGTCTGGCACCCTGTAGGAAATGCTATTGGAAATTAACTGTAAATTAGTCTGAATGGATTATGCAAACCATTGAAAAACACTAAATTGTGAGATGTTGGTGCAGTCACTTGGCAGGCTGCAGTAAAGGTGGGTAGGAAGAATTGGTCGATGTGGTGGGAAGGGTTTGGTGGGAGTTTAGGGTGATAAGGAAGTCCCTACTGCTGGTATAGCTCACTGAGGAACACAACGATACTCACTTAGAAAAGGGCAGTAACCGAGCCTGCATGCAGGAATCAGGGCATTTGCAAACTTTGGCCCACTTCATCCTTATTGGGGTTTGTGAAAGAGTCAAGATGTTAATGGGCTTTAAACCTCAAGTCTTTCCACCCAATAGCACTCTCTGCTTCTCATTCCAGTCCTGGGGACAGGGAATTAAATCCTCTCCACTTTGTTATTAAATCAAAACCAGTTCAGATTCTAGGCTAACACTGGACAGCATTTCAATGATTTGAATCTAAGACTCTCGAGGTGTTTGAAACTATATCGCCTAATTAATTGCTTTATGGATCTATCTCTGTTGTCCCTGATGTTGAGATCATCCAGCAACAAGCCAATTAGTGTAAAGTTTTGGAAACATGTTGTAAAGTATTTGTAGCTAAATCTCTGTTAACATTCGTCTGCCTGTAAAGTATTTGTAGCTAAATCTCTGTTAACATTCGTCTGCCTGATGACAAATGCTTCCTTTATAAAGATGGATTGCCTTCTCCAGATAGCTTTGTTCCATAATGTGTAGCTCCAGCTACAAATCAATTAGCAACTTACAATTTACAGTGTCTAGTAATTTTGCTAACCACAGAAAATAGCAAACTACAGAAGATCGTTACAAACCAAAACCAAATTAAACCAATGGCAAGTTCAATGAAGTTTTGTGCTAGAATGCTTTATTGCATTAGCATCTTCAGAATTCTTACACTTTCCGTTATAACAGCCTGTTAGGTGTGTCATATGTCAAGCACATCTTACCAGGGGCAAGTTCCAGTTGCCCAAAGGTTCCTTTCATTTTAAAGGATTCAAATTCAATTATGGAATGAATATCAAGGCAGCCTTCAGAACGCAAGAGGTTGGTGGAGTTTTGATGAGGGAGCCAAGATGTTAAATGGAAGATTTTGGTGTGCCTTTCCATTCTTCTCACACACAAGGACAGTTGTACAGAAGAGATGATGGTGATAGAACTAATGTCCTACAATATGAATTTGGTTTTTGAAGCTATTTCAGTTCAGTTTATAGAAACTCATTAAGACAATTGTCCTACAGGCATGAGGTCTTGGGTCAGATCTGTCGTAATGCTTCAGACTTTCCATTTTGACTACTTAGGGATTGAAGGAAACTCAGATTATTTAGTTTTATTGATGGTGCAAAGTTAAAATTTCATTATCCAAAGACAGTGTTGCGTACAATCTAATTCATTAAGTGGCAATGCCTTAACTAAATGCTGTGAACAACTGAACATAAAGACTGAGAAGAGATTACAAATTATTAACAAATATACAGAAAGATCACTTGAGTCATTTTTAAAAATCAAGCAAATAACGCAAGTGTGATTTTAAACAGATTCTGCACAACACAAATCTAAAAACGAATCATTGAGAACCATCAGAAAAATCAAATCTTCACAACATATTCTCAACATCTGGTGAGATATGAGCTAAGTGATCTAATGAGATTGATCCAGATGCATAACTTTACGAAGGGAGCTGCAGGCACTAGGTGGCAAGTATTCAATGACAACTATTAAGGTGTCTAAAACACTACGGAGCAATGGTTTCATATAAAACCTGTTTGACTCTGGAATGATCAATTAATATAGAAAGGAAGGGACAGTAAAACTGATACCTACTTACTTGTATGTGATTTACTATTTAAAATATTCTTTAGTCCCTTGGCTAATGTCCTCATGCTTTGCCTAATGGTAGCTTCATCTCCTAATGACCAAGTGGAATAACCCATGACATGACTCAACAACTGTTTTTAATTTTCTCAACTAGTAAGGGCAATCAATCTGTTTTCTCAAGCAGGTTGGATGTGGCTTTGAACAAAGTTACCAGGGGATGAAGGAGTAGTGAGCAGACCTTTTCCTGTTCCTGGAGTATTGTTCCAACTAGTTGTTCTACTTTTAATAGCATTACCCACTCATGAGGTTTTTTTTCTTTATTCATTCACAGCATGAGGGCGTCACTGGCTAGACAGCATTTATTGCCCATCCCTAATTTCTGCAGAGAGCAGTTATGAGTCAACCACATTTCTACCCATTTCCATTCATTTAGTTCAGCAACATTAATATCATTTAATTAAGCAATGTCTTATTACATCTGTTAAAATGAATGAATTAAGCAGCTGCAGCCTTTACATTTGTAAATTTTAACTTGTGCATTTGTTTTGAAGACTGTCATCTGTTCAGAGTTATGCTGTGTAGCGTTGATTTTTAAAATGTTGTTATTTTCGGTCAGTCAAAATAAATCATCTGTCTTTAATATCAAGCATGCCCAATGTGAAAATATCTCATTTCTCTAACATAAAGTTACCTGAGAATTGACAGACTGTCCCATTGGAATCCGGGAGCATTCAAGGGCATACTGTTTCACACAAAAGTAACAGCCCTAGATTGGGATAAAAAGAGAAATTAATGTGTATATGTTGACCGCCCTTTTGTGACTGAAATTCTACTTCATTCCCTGGAACTTAAAAGGAGTGGAATCAAAATTACAGATACATATTAGTTTGTTGTAAATCACTCTAAGGTGTTTTAGGCAGTGGCAACAAATGGAAGCCAGGAAACATGTTTCAGCTGTTACAAAAAGAAACTCCTTTGACTCTTCATAATGAATAAAATGAATAAAAAGTTCACTAATTCAGCCTAAGTATAAACATGTATAATTGTTTCACAAAACTACAGAATATTCTCAATTATCCACTGGGTCTCTCATAAAAGAGGTCATCCTAGCTCTAAAAATGACTGAGTTTTCCAGCTTATAAAAATTATTTCTTGGGGTATGTATATATTCCAACTGTTAATCTCAAAATATTCAATGCACACCTTGCTGCAGATATTCTAGTTTCTTAATAATCAATAGTCCAGCAGGCAATTGAAGAGAAAATGAATCCTGAAGAAAGAATGGCTTTATTGCCATCTAGTGATGAGAGTCAATCATGCCTTTTTGTATTAGGCAGGAAGCAAACAGGTAATTTATACAAAACATTTTAGATATATCTGATACGAGTGCATTATATCAAATACCAGTGAAATATTCTGCCCTATCAGGGAATACAAACTGATGTCCAGAGACCTGAATATCATGTGACATACTGACCACAGTATTGTTATTCCAGAAGGTCACAGCATCATACTGACTGAAGCACTGATATTCCAGAGTGTGTACTGTGTCACACTGACTGCTGTATTGAGATCTCAGAGAATCACTGTATCACAGCAACAAGGCTTTTCTTCTCAGAATTCCTTTGTTAGCAAATAACATTTACGTAACAACATTAACCTCCTTACAAATAAGATCTTGAGTTATAACCTGGGTGACATCAACTTACATTGAACGATTAACTTCTTTATAGCTATACAGATGCTTTTTATCTTTCTGTTCACTGAGGAGATTGGAAGATAGCAGGGAACCAGCTTTACAATTGCATAATTTTCTTTTTGCTCACGATCCAATGTAAAAGGGCTCATTTTAAGCAATACTATTTAGATGCCAGTTTGAATGATCTGGAAATATGCCTCTGTAAAGAATAGAGTATTTTGTGAAGAAGCTTACAACAATTTGTAGTTGCACAGCTAACATTTAAACTTTTCTTGATAGGCCATCATTGATTCCATTGTACAGGGAATGGCTACATCCACAAAACCCATTCTATTTTAGGGAGCCCCATGTCTGCCACTGGGAATGCCAGATGCATCCTTTATCTTAGCATACCAGCAAACAGCAGATAGATGGTCGATCTCAAAACAAAATTATGCAGAAATTGGCAGAGTAGACCAGTAGCATACCTGCATCTTGGGCTAATTTCTGGGCATTTTGCTGCACTTTCTTTCAGATTTATAGTCGTAATGTCGCAGAAGGTCTCCAGAAATTGTGACCAAGGATTTCAAATCCACCAGAATGGAATCAAAAATGCAATAGTTCAGAGAGAATGGGAAACATGGGTAAATGGAACAGAGTATGCATGGTTGAGTTTTACATCAACGGGAATTGATGGAAGGTACACAAAACTAAACAAGGAGAGTTTTGGAGTAGTTTAGTCTGAAAGAAAGGTGTAAAGGTTTGAATTGTAGGCAAAAATAGGAACAGAAACAGGTGTCGTTGACAAGGTGAAAGTAGTGGTCTTTGTGGTGCAGAAAATAAGGAATTTTAAACAGATCTTGGGAACAGTCTAATTTATTCTGTGACCTGAATGCAAGGCGCAAACTTAAAGTAAGGGTCAGGAGGGTCAGCAGGGATGTGAGGAATGAATTTTTCACCCAGAGGGTGGTAGGCACCCTTACTTCATGTAAGGGTGATAGAGGAAGAAACTCTCATTATAAGTATTTAGATGCACATTTGCGATGCCAAGGCACACAAGGCTAATGGTCAGGTGCTGGAAAACGGGATTAGAATAGCCAGGCGGGTGTTTTGTTTGGTGCAGACTCAATGGGCCGAAGGGCCTTTTTCTGTGTTGTAGATCTCTATCACTGTATTAATAGAACAGAGGAGAGTATGTGTCAGGCACCAAAGCCTTTGGTTTTCCTGTCATTGACTCTAGGACATTAACGTTCATTCAAAAGCAGCCAACACCACTATCACAGCCTGTGATAATTAATCCTGGTGCAGCCATTGGTGCAGACACGGTCTATTGTCTTAGATGAACATTTCTGACTATGACTTTGTTTCTGACAACTTTTTCATCACAATTAAAATTTGCACCAAAATGTCACCAAGTACAAGGCAAAGTGATTTTCACAAACTGAACCATAATGCCAGCTGTTTGCATAATCAACATGAGAAACTTCTAAGCAGCCTTGTTGCACAGCCAAGAAAGTGTAATGAACCATCTTAGATTAGCAGAATATGGAAAGTGATCTATTTGTTCTGTGGGTTTTGTATTTGACTTTGTACTCACTCAAGTCACATGGTCAGATATTATTTGCCTGACATGTTGAGGTGTTTTATAGCTTTTGTTGTTTTTGTTTGTACATTCTCATTCACCAATATTTATCTTTTGCTTTTGTAACAATGTAATTACATTCCTCCCGCACATAATAAACTACTCTTGTCAGCTGTATGAAAGATACCTGATATCTTTACAAACACAGTATATTGTTCTTACCTGGAAAGCAAGCTCCATAAGTACAATTCCACCTGGCAGAGCCCTTTGAAGATGATAGATCATTACACTGGAGCCATCCATGCTCTGAAACAGATTTTCATTCAGATACTGTGAATATTACAATCTTTCACATGTTCCTAAGGCTTGGTACCAGGATGGGGACTACCTTTAGACAGTACAGGTAAAAAGTACTGAGATAACATTACAGAGTGTCTTTTGATGACAAACACAGTTCCGTCCGTCCACAGAAAGTGCCTCTTTCTCCACTTGCAAAATAGATCATCTTGTTCAGCAAGTTCAGCAACTAAGATGGGATAATGATCATAAATATATCTGAAGATCCAGGTACCTCAAAAACTGTACCCACATATTGAATGACGACACTGTGAAGCACAGTTTACACAGTAACTTACAAAGACAATATCAAATCTATACCAACAGTAACCATTATAAATGGTTTTGCTGTTGTTTCTGTGTCTAGGTTGCACTATCTTGAGGCTTATTTTAGAGGATTTCTAGAAGGTGGGCTTCTAACCCCATCAGTGTTAAGAAATGATGAATGATCACATGCTTGCGTGGATATTTGATCAAAATCAAAGGCTGGTCAGTAGTAAACACCGACACAACAACGTGAAAATAAATTGACATATACTTTAAAATCAATTACAACACACCCTTTTTTGGTCACTTGGGGAACAAGAAAACAGCCGCACGGTTTTTCTAAGCGAGGCAAACTTTCAGCTGTATTTTGCTCAAAGTTTTAATAATCTATAAAAAACTATAACAAATTAAACGCCATCTCCACATTATATGGGACCATTTTACTCTCTTTCACTCATACCAAGTGTCAAAAATTTAGACAGAAATATATATAAGGCAAATTTACATAAGGTAAATAATATTTGCACCAGTCAAGACTTTTGCCTTCATGATAATTTTATGGTGACATGACATAATCCAGGGGAACAGATCGGAATCAAAAGAAAAGCTCAGAGCTTCTGAGTATTTAATTTTTTGAAGAGACCATATGGAATACTTAATAATTATCTATATTTAAGGGCAAGAACACAGGCTCCTCAAACTCACTTAAATGCTATCTAATTCCAATGTCTCTCTATGTTGCCACTCATTAATACACTGGCATCCATAGCATGATGTAACTATCACATGCACTATGTTGCAAGGCGAGCATCTTTTAAAGGTGGCTCTGGAAGCTAAAGTCTAGAACAACTGAGTGTGGAAAATTATTTTCTTAACAGTTATTAACTTGGATTTTGGAAAAACTCAAAACATGACAATATTTCTTGTCACCCTATGCCTCTTTCAATAATTTTTGAAAGCACCAGGGCAACCAGAGACATCCTAGAGCATGCTGGCTAAAAGATGTGTAATATTTGTTACACTGCACATAGTGGAGCAATTTGAGGATACCAGATATTCATTGGGAATGCAGATGAACACTGATTTTTTCACTGCTGTTTTGGACAACCATGAGATGCATATACTGGCAGCACACATAATAATACCACGGACCAATCCTAGGCTAATTTAGAAGCTGAAGGGAGAAGATCTGAGGGAGGAGGTAATTTGCAACTCTTCAAATACCAAAACAGCCCTTATCCAAACGCAGCAAGACCTGGATAACATCTAGGCTAGGGCTGATAATTGCTAAGTAACATTCATGCCACACAAGTGCCAGGGAAAGACGATCTCCAATGAGAAAGAAACTAACCGCTGCTCCTTTACATTTACCAGCATTAGCATTACAGTTGGGAATAAATACTGGCCTAGGCAGAGACATCCACATTTCCTTGAATAAATAAAAATAAGATCTAGATTGTCATTAGCAGTGCAATCCTTATGGTGCAGGTTAACTTAAGATGCACATGCAGCAGGTGGCATATCTTGGCAAATGACACCCTGCTGACAGTGAGTCTGCAGATATAGTTGGTGGTATAACTGTTTTAGACAGTTCATTTCTGAGGCTTGTTCATTTCTCTGGTATTCTTCAATTAGAAATAAATATTGAAACCAACTGTCACCAAATTTAATAATGAACATGCCATGTAGTATGGCATGGAACAACGTCTTCTTACCTGAGCTACAATAAAAGTTGGTCTTGCAAGAATCTATTTTCATGCCATTTCATTTTTAAGTGTTTTGTGTTCTACTGAATTGTTGTAAATGCCTCAGTTATAGTCAGTTTTCACATTAATCTGCATATATTATTGTTGCAAACTCATAATGGAATATGGGCTGTACTGGCAAGGCCAGCATTTATCACCCATCTTATTTGCCCCGAAAAAGACAGGCATGAGCTATCTGCTTGAACATCGCCATCAGGCTTCTTAAGTCATTTCAGAAGGCAGTTAAAAGTCAACCACAAGCTATGGGTCTAACATCATGCAGAGGGCAAAACAGATAGGGACAGCAGATTTCCGGCCTTAAACAACATTAGTGATTCAAAAGTTATGATAATCCAATAATTTTACAGTCACCAATAGGGATATTAATTTATTTCATGGAATTTAAATTTCCCAACAGCCATGGCAGTATTTGAACTCTTGTGTCTGGATTATTAGTCCAGGCCTCTAGATTACTAGTGCCAGAACATAATAAGAACATAAGAACCAGGAGCAGGAGTAGGCCGTCTGGCCCTTCGAGCCTGCTCCGCCATTCGATAAGATCATGGCTGATCCTTTCGTGGACTCAGATCCACTTACCCGCATTCTCACCGTATCCCTTAATTCCTTTATTGTTCAAAAAAAATCTACCTTTTCTTTTAAAAACATTTACTGAAGTAGCGTCAACTACTTCACTGGGCAAGGAATTCCATAGATTAACAACCCTCTGGGTGAAGAAGTTCCTTCTCAGTTCAGTCCTAAATCTGCTCCCTCTAATCTTGAGGCTATGCCCGCTTGTCCTAGTTTCACCTGCCAGTAGAAACATCCTCTCTACTTCTTTCTTATCTATTCCCTTCATAATTTTATATGTTTCTATAAGATCCCCCCTCAATCTTCTGAATTGCAATGAATATAATCCCAATCTACTCAGTCTCTCCTCATAAGCCAACCCCCTCAACTCTGGAATCAACCTAGTGAACCTCCTTTGCACCCCCTCCAGTGCCAGTACATCCTTTCTCAATAATCACAATGCTCTATGTCATGGTTAAGAGGATTGCAAGCTGCAAAAAGAATTTCCAGCCATCCACATACATTCTGTGCCATGGAATAGTAATAATACAAAAATATTTATGTCACTAAATTGTGATTTAAGAAATCCAAATGTAGGAATGAAACAGATGGTTCACAAAATATCTCAGAATCAACTACAGGAACAAAGTTACTTTAAAGTTTGCATAGAAGCTTAGAACAATTGACAGTGAGCAAATGAGCATTCTAAGAGTTAGGTAATTTTCTGTCTGCTTTTTTATTTGATTTGTTCACCCATATAATCAAAAAAGCTGAACACCTGCTTTGAAATATCGATGACAATGCCATACACGCTCTTAAAATACTTGTTCACCAATACTGAAATAATTTTTGGATTGCATGGACAGACACTCAACTTCTCACTATGACCTGCCCTCTAAAAACTTTTGATTACTCACCTTTGGACTGTCATCACTTTTCTGCTTGTGAATGGAGATAGGTCGTGAGTCCAGTGGCCGAGTCCGCCCCAAGCTGAAAGAAATAAACCCATAATTATGGGCTGGTTATAAATGTTGAAATAAAGCGATCAATAGATGCTGCAGTCCAACAGTCAGATTTTTGTGAATAGTGACAGTAAATGTTAGTTATAAGCAAAAGTAGCTAGCTTAAAACATGTTGGACTTCTGCAATAAAATTGCTTGGTGTACCAACAACTGTGCGGCATAGCTTCTCATAGCACACAGCCTTGAAAAGCCATCAGTGAAAAGGGACCAAAGGAAAGTATTAAGAAATGCACTGCAGGAGTCTTATTTGTTGTTTCGGAATTGTCACGGGGGGAGGCAGATCATTATGACAATCAAGAAGGGGACACAAGCTACAATAAGGCAACAGAATCATCTGTCAAATATTGAATTTTCAATGAATCTCCTGATCTGAAATTTCAGAATCAATCAGGTTATTTGCAAACCGTATCGACATGGGACTGTTGGGAAGGTGAGCTTTTCGTTTTAAAAGACTTACCTCGTGGAATCAGCGGCCTCCATTTGTTCAGCGGCGGGAGTCAGGAGAGAGCGCGAGGGGACTGCTGGGAAGGTGAGCTTTTCATTTTAAAAGACTTACCTCATGGAATCAGTGGCCTCCATTTGTGCAGCAGCAGTGGGAGCAGTGAGAGTGAGGGCCAGGGGGCTGCCAGGACGGTGAGCATTTCGTTTGACAGCGGAGCTGAGTGGGAGCGGTCGAATTGCGCTCTGAGAAGTTGAGTGAACTGATATATTTGGGCAGTGGCTAAACCCAAGGCACTACACGTGCAGTGTCTCCCACCCGCCCTCCTCCTCTGACCAAAAAAAAAAGACTCTGTGGTGTGTTGATAAGGCCATGCCTTTTTTTTTAAATCGTATGTTGGTAAGTAGAGTGATTGGTAAAAATTTTTTCATTTCATTTATCTATTACTTGATATTATAGTAGGACTAAGCTAAGTTTAAGAGTCCCAGACCCATGTCATGCTCCTCTTGCTCAATGTGGGAGCTCAGGGACATGGTTGATGTCCCTGACTCCTACATGTGCAGGAAGAGTGTCCAGCTGCAGCTCTTGTTAGACCGCATGACGGCTCTGGAGCTGTGGATGGACTTACTTGGGAGCATCCGCGATGCTGAGGATGTCATGGATAGCACGTTTAGCAAATTGGTCACACCGCAGATTAGGATTGCTGAGGGAGAAAGGGAATGGGTGAGCAAAAGGCAGAGGAAAAGCAGGAAGGCAGTGCAGGTGTCCCCTGCGGTCATCTCCCTCCAAAACAGGTATACCGTTTTGGATACCGTTGGGGGAGATGGCTCACCAGGGGAAGGCAGCAGTAGCCAGGTTCATGGCACCGTGGCTGGCTCTGCTGTACAGAACAGTGGGAAAAAGAGTGGAAGGGCTATAGTCATAGGGGATTCGATTGTAAGGCGAGTAGACAGGCGGTTCTGTGGTCGAAAACAAGACTCCCGAATGGTATGTTGCCTCCCAGGTGCACAGGTCAGGGATGTCTCAGATTGACTGCAGGACATTCTGAAGGGGGAGGGTGAACAGCCAGCTGTTGTGGTGCATATAGGCACCAATGATATAAGTAATAAACGGGATGAGGTCCTACAAGCAGAATTTAGGGAGTTAGGAGCCAAGTTAAAAAGTAGGACCTCAGAGGTAGTAATCTCAGGATTGCTACCAGTGCCACATGCCAGTCAGAGTAGAAATGAAAGAATAGGCAGGATAAATGAGTGGCTTGAGAGATGGCGCAGGAGGGAGGGGTTCAGATTTTTGGGATATTGGGACCGGTTCTGGGGGAGGTGAGACTATTACAAATCGGACGGTCTACACCTAGGCAGGACTGGAACCAATGTCCTAGGGGGTGCTTTTGCTAACGCTGTTGGGAAGGGTTCAAACTAAACGTGGCAGGAGGATGGGAACCAAATGAGGAGGTTAGTGGACAGTAAGGAGGTAGTAACTAAAACCTGTAAGGAACTAGATAATGAAGTCAGTGTGACTAAGGGGAAGAGTAGGCAGAGAGCAGATAATGAACACAAAGGGACAGGTGGTCCGAGGTGCATTTGTTTTAATGCGAGAAGTGTAGTAGGTAAGGCAGATGGACTTAGGGCTTGGATTAGTACCTGGGAGTATGATGTTATTGCTATTACTGAGACTTGGTTGAGGGAAGGGCAAGATTGGCAACTAAATATCCCAGGATGTAGATGCTTCAGGCGGGATAGAGAAGGAAGTAAAAGGGATGGAGGAGTTGCATTACTGGTCAAAGAGGATATCTCAGCTGTGCTGAAGGAGGGCACTGTGGAGGACTCGAGCAGTGAGGCAATATGGGCAGAGCTCAGAAATAGGAAGGGTGCGGTAACAACGTTGGGGCTGTACGACATGCCTCCCAACAGCAAGCGCGAGATAGACGCACAAATATGCACTTAGAGTTAGTGGTTTAGATGGAGCAGAATTTGTAAGGAGCATCCAAGAGGGTTTTATGGAGCAGTATGTAAATAGTCCAACTCGGAAGGGGCCATACTGGACCTGGTGCTGGGGAATGAGCCCGGCCAGGTGGTTGAAGTTTCAGTAGGGGATTACTTTGGAAATAGTGATCACAATTCCCTAAGTTTTAGAATACTCATGGACAAAGACGAGAGTGGTCCTAAAGGAAGAGTGCTAAATTGGGGAAAGGCCAACTATAGCAAAATTCGGCAGCAGCTGGGGAATTTGGATTGGGAGCAGCTGTTTGAGGGTAAATCCACATTTGATATGTGGGAGGCTTTTAAAGAAGGGTTGATTAGAGTGCAGGACAGACATGTCCCTGTGAAAATGAGGGATAGAAAGGGCAAGATTAGGGAACCATGGATGACAGGTGAAATTGTGAGACTAGCAAAGAGGAAAAAGGAAGCATACATAAGGTCTAGGCGACTGAAAACAGACGAAGCTTTGGAAGAATATCGGGAAAGCAGGACCAATCTGAAATGAGGAATTAAGAGGGCTAAAAGGGGTCATGAAATATCTTTAGCAAACATGGTTAAGGAAAATCCCAAAGCCTTTTATTCGTACATAAGGAGCAAGAGGGTAACTAGAGAAAGGGTCGGCCCACTCAAGGACAAAGGAGGGAAGTTATGCGAGGAGTCAGAGAAAATGAGTGAGATTCTTAATGAGTATTTTGCATCGGTATTCACCGAGGAGAGAGACATGACGGATGTTGAGGTTAGGGATAGATAGTTGATTACTCTAGGTCAAGTCAGCATAAGGAATGGGGGGAAGTGTTGGGTATTCTAAAAGGCAATAGGGTGGACAAGTCCCCAGGTCTGAATGGGATCTATCCCAGGTTACTGAGGGAAGCGAGAGAGGAAAGAGCTGAGGCCTTAACAGATACCTTTGCAGCATCCTTGAGCACGGGTGAGGTCCTGGAGTACTGGAGAATTGCTAATGTTGTCCCCTTGTTTAAGGGTAGCAAGGATAATCCAGGTAATTACAGACCGCTGAGCCTGACGTCAGTGGTGGGGAAGCTGCTGGAGAAGATACTGAGGGATAGGATCTATTTACATTTGGAAGAAAATGGGCTTATTAGTGATAGGCAGCATGGTTTTGTGCATGGAAGGTCATGTCTTACCAACTTGATAGAATTCTTTGAGGAAGTGACAAAGTTGATAGATGAGGAAAGGGCTGTAGATGTCATATACATGGACTTCAGTAAGGCGTTTGATAAGGTTCCTCATGGTAGGCTGATGGAGAAAGTGAAGTCGCATGGGGTCCAGGATGTACTAGCTGGATGGATAGAGAACTGGCTGGGCAACAGGAGACAGAGAGTTGTAGTGGAAGGGAGTTTCTCAAAATGGAGAACTGTGACCAGTGGTGTTCCACAGGGATCCATGTTGGGACCACTGTTGTTTGTGATATACATAAATGATCTGGAGGAAGTATAGATGGTCTGATTAGCAAGTTTGCAGATGACACTAAGATTGGTGGTGTAGCAGATAGTGAAGGGGACTATCGGAGAATGCAACAGAACATAGATAGATTGGAGAGTTGGGCGGAGAAATGGCAGATGGAGTTCAATCCAGGCAAATGCGAGGTGATGCATTTTGGAAGATCCAAGTCAAGAGCGAACTATATGGTCAATGGAAAAGCCCTGGGGAAAATTGATGCACAGAGAGATCTGGGTGTTCAGGTCCATTGTGCCCTGAAGGTGGCAATGCAGGTCGATAGAATGGTCAAGAAGGCATATGGCATGCTTTCATTCATCGGACGGGGTATTGAGTACAAGAGTTGGCAGGTCATGTTACAGTTGTACAGGACTTTGGTTCGATCACATTTGGAATACTGCATACAGTTCTGGTCGCCACATTACCAAAAGGATGTGGATGCTTTGGACAGGGTGCAGAGGAGGTTCACCAGGATGTTGCCTGTTATGGAGGGCGCTAGCAATGAAAAGAGGTTGAGTTGATTAGGATTATTTACATTAGAAAGACAGAGGTTGAGGGGGGACCTGATTGACGTCTACAAAATCATGAGAGGTATAGACAGGGTGGATAGCAAGAAGCTTTTTCCCCAGACTGGGGGACTCAATTACTAGGGGTCACGATTTCAGGGTGAGAGGGGAAAAGTTTAAGGGAGATATGCGTGGAAAGTTCTTTCCGCAGAGGGTGGTGGGTGCCTGGAACACGTTGCCAGCGGAGGTGGCAGAGGCGGGCACGATAGCGTCATTTAAGATGTATCTAGACAGATACATGAATGGGCAGGGAGCAGAGGGATACAGATCCTCGGAAAATAGGGGACAGGTTTAGATGGAGGATCTGGATCGGTGCAGGCTTCCTATGCTGCAATTTTCTTTGTTCTTTGATATCAATGGAAGTATTATCAGATTCACCTTTACTAGGAAACTACAGTGAGTTCAATTACATCTTAAAAAGTTAGCTTGGACCTATGTATGGTAAAAATCCTCCTTTCCATTTTGCAATAGTTATCTCAAATCAAAAACCCAGAGATACTAGTATTTAAAGAATCCTCTCCATGCAATTTGAAGATATTACCATAATTGACAGATTATGCAATACTAGTCGCACATGTAGGACTTGGCAGTAAGTACTGTATTTTAGAAACAATTATTGATGATAAAAGAATTTGAAGTTGAAATGTTTTGGTATTGTGTTGTAAACCAAAACCAAGGCTTACAATTGCATAAGAAAAATGAGATCGAAACACGATCAGACATTCAGTTTTATTATAACAAAGTGTAAAGCTAGAGGAACACAGGCAGGCAGGTACTCACCTGTCTTCCCATAGTCTAGTGATAATACCACTAGGCCATCATCTACCCCTAATTTGTTCTGAAATTATTTACCATGCCAGTTTGTTGACTAAATTGTCCAAAACATTGTTTTGAATAAATTACAGGAGTTATTTTACCGCATACATGGTGAGGATAAATATACTATTCATCAGGTCACTTCTCAGAAACAATGTAGTGTACGGTAAGGAATCATACTCTCTCGCTTCAATTTAAGAAAACATTAACAGCATGGGAAAGTAAAAATATACAAATTTGAATTATATGGCTCTTACTGAATAATATGACTGAATCATCATTTCACTGTTGCAACTGTATGACATGCATAGAGAAAGTACAGGTGGCTATTCCGCAACCTTGCCTTAAATAGTTGTTCTTCTTACCTCCTCGTAGGAGATGGTGGGCGAACCTGCACTAGGATAAAGCCCATGCTCTGTAAGTACTGGATGTACTGCTGCATGAATGCATTGGAGATTTCTCCCAGCCACTGTTCCTCCTTTAGCTTAAAAGGCATGGTTTCCACAGAATCACAGCTGTGACTTCGGTCTCTTCCTGATGCAGTTGAGTCATTAGAACGATGACGCTTCTAGGGAGAGAAATTAAAAATGAAAAAAAATCAGAAAAACATTCTGATGAGAAAAGATTATTAGAACATTGAACATAGAACACAGAACAGTACAGCACAGTACAGGCCCTTCAGCCCACAATGTTGTGCTGAACTTTTACACTAATCCTAAGGTCTATCTAACCTCCACAGTTCATTACTGTATTAAAATGGAAATAAACACTTATTGTAATCTAAACTGTGAGATTTATGTATATTTTTCATAGAATTTATTGCTAATTTAGGTTTTTAGTTTTTGAGTTAGCATAATATGGATTTTCTGCGTGTCTTGAGTTACTTAGTCTTAGTCATAGAGTCATACAGCATGGAAACAGGCCATTCCCCCAACCATTCCATACCTACCATAATCCCAAACTAAACTAGTCTCACCTGCCGGTGCTTTGCCCATATCCCTCCAAACATTTCTTATTCATGTAGTTATCTAAATATCTTTTAAATGTTGTAACTACACCTGCATCCACCGCTTCCTCTGGAAGTTCATTCCGCATACGAACCAGTCTCTGTGTAAAAAAAAAAAGTTGCCCCGCATGTCTTTTTTTAGATCTTTCTCCTCTCACCTCAAAAATATGCTGCCTCGTCTTGAAATCCCCAACCCTAGGGAAAAGACACCTGTCATTCATCTTATCTATACCCCTCAATATTTTATAAACTTCTATAAGGTGACACCTCAACCTCCTATGCCCCAGTGACCAAAGTCCCAGCATATCCAGCCTCTCCTTATAACTCAAACCCTTCATTACCAGCATCATCCTGGTAAATCTCTTCTGGACCCTCTCAAGCCTAATAATATTCTTCCTACAGCAGGGCAACTAGAACTGGACACTATACTCCAGAAGAGACCTCATCAAAGTTGTGCACAACCTCAACATAATGTCCCAACTCCTATACTCAAAGGTCTGAGCAATAAAGGCAAGCATGCTAAATGCCTTCTTAACGACCCTATTACAACATTGCCCAAGGCCCTACATTTAACTGTATAAGACTTGCCTTTGTTTTTGTTTAAGAAAAATGCAATACTTTGCATTTATCCAAATTAAACTCCATTTGCTCTCCAGCCCATTGGCCCAACTGAACAAGATCTCTTTGTAATCTTAAATAAGCTTCTTTACTGTCCACTATACCAGAAATTTTGCTATTGTCCAAAAACTTACTTACTTTGCTTTCTATATTCTCATCTAAATAATTTATAAAAATGACAAACAAAAGTGGACCCAGCACTGATCCTCGTAGAACACCACTGGTCACAGGCCTCCAGTCTGAAAAACAAGCCTCCACAATCACTCACTGTCTCGTGCTATACATAATATTTAACATATACATATTTCTATAGTCATGGTGATTTCTCTCAAGACATTTTTGAGGACTAGCTTTAGAATTAATGGGCTTTGTGCAGCACCAGTGGATTTTTGTTTAGCTTAAGACTGTTTTGCGATACAGTGAGGTAAATAATGGGGCCTCAAGGTTTGTTAAATATTTCTGGAACTAGTTTTTTAGCTTAAGGGAAATACCCTTTGTCTGCAGAGTTTTTTTTTTTTAAAAAGTTTTCAAGAAGATTTGTAGCTTGGGTTATGGATGAAGTTGTAGACTCGCTCGCCGAGCCGGTTGGTTTGGTTGCAAACATTTCGTCACCCTGCTAGGTAACATAGTCAGTGTGACTCTGGTGAAGCATTGGTGTTCTGTCCTGCTTGTTATTTGCCTTAGTTTGCTGGGGTGGTTGGCATTACTTCTGGTTCTGTTTTTCAGTGATTTGTACATTGGGTCCAGTTCAATGTGTTTGTTGATGGAGTTCCGGTTGGAATGCCAGGCCTCCAGGAATTTCCTGGCATGTTTCTGTTTGGCTCGTGCTATTATGGATGTGTTGTCCCAGTCGAATTTGTGTCCTTCTTTGACCGTTTGTATTGGGACCAGTGAGAATTGGTCATGTCTCTCGGTGGCTAGTTGGTGTTCGTGTATCCTTACTGTCAGTTTTCCTCCAGTTTGGCCTACGTAATGTTTTTCACAGTCCTTGCATGGTATTTTGTATATTACGCTAGTTTAATTGGTTGTGGGTACGGGATCCTTGACATTTGTCAGTAGCCGTTGCAGGGTAGTTGTTGGTTTGTGGGCTACCTTGATACCTAGGGGTCTGAGTAGTCTTGCTATCATCTCTGATATATCTGATGTACGGTAGGGTGACTAGTGTGTCTGGCCGTGTTGTGTCTTCTTGTTGTGGTCTGTCGCAGAGGTAATGGCGAATTGTGCTTTTTGAATATCCATTCATTTTAAAAGCTCTATATAAGTGCTCCTGTTCGGCTAATCTCAATTCCGGATTGCTGCAGTGTGTTGTGGCCTGTTTGAATAATGTCCTGATGCAGCTCCATTTATGGGTGTTGGGGTGGTTTCTGGAGTAATTAAGTGCCTGGTCTGCATGTGTGGTCTTTCTGTTTATGCTAGTCTGGTGTTCCCCGTTGTTGTTACATTCTACCATTATGTCTAGGAAGGGTAGTCAGTTATTGTTCTCCTCTTCTTTTGTGAATTTCATTCTTGAGGATGTTGTTTGTTCCGGTGGGTTTCTTCTAGTCTTGTGCATTTGATAATCACAAAGGTGTCATCTACATAGCGGACCTAGAGTTTGGGTTGTATAGTGGGGAGCACTGTTTGTTCTAACCTTTGCATTACCGCTTCTGCTATCAGTCCTGATATTGGGGATCCCATTGGAGTTCCGTTGATTTGTTTGAATATACAGTAATTGAAGGTGAAGTGGGTTGTGAGGCACAGATCCAGCAGTTTCAGTGTGCTGTCTCTGTTGATGCTGTTGGTGTCGTGGGGTGCCTGCCTTCTTGATTCATCCAGCAGTGTGTCACCCTGAAACTGCTGGATACAAACCACTGAAAAACAGAACTGGAAGTAATGCCAACCATTCCAGCAAACAGAGGCATATAAATAACAAGTGGGACAGAACACCAACGCTTCACTGGAGGCGCACTGACGACATTACCTACCAGGATGATGAAACGTCTGCAACCAAACACACTGCTGGGCGAGCAAGTCTATAACCTCAGATTTTTTTTTAAAATTTTGTTTAGAGTTTTGAACTGCCTTGCAAAATCCATGGGTGAAGTTGGAAATATAAATTTCTGCTCCCGAGAAGGGATTGATATTGTGAAACTATTTTACTTCGGAGTAAAGAATCAGTATTAGTCTCAGACCTGAAGTGTTGGGATAAAACCCTGAAGAGGTTACTAAAAGCTGAATATATTGACGGTCAGGTTTCTAATCATTCTAAAAAGTTATCTGCAGTTCCAGTCTGTAAATTAAAGTCACGTGACTTAAATCTAACAAACTATATTACAGACAGGGAGTCCGGTGTAAGTACTGACTGAATGCCATACAAGGTATGTCTTGAGTACTATATAATTGTTGTTGTTTATCTTTCCAATTTTTAAGGAGCCTTTTTCGGACTAATGGATTATACTTTTACGGCGTGCTTAAAATTCGTTGAATCTGTGTCATAAGTAGGTAGTTTGACTTAATCTACTTTATCTTCATTTCTTTTGTTAACAAACTTTTGTTTTATTGTTAAAACAAAATCTGCAGAATACCTTGCTTAGGTTTCGTTAAATGACAGCTTTGTTTACAACAAGTCCAAAACAAAACATGATCTATCAAGCCAGGTTTCATTCTCAGATCTGACTTGTCCAGTAATAACATCAGCTGGGATCATAAAACAAACCAAATTTAATCATTTATTCTAATATATTCTTGATTTGCATTCAACTTTTGAGTACAGAACGTGACTATTTTTTGAGTAGTGTTCACTGAGAAGGAAAATGCAGTTAAGCCATGAGAATGATGATGCTTACTATACAACTACTGAAGTATTATGATTATTCTGCACATTTTAAAATGAGAACCTGACTCAGAAATTGCAGGTCCTATCAGTGGTAGATTAAGTAATCAAAATTATAAAGGTGGGAGATACATTCATGGCAATAATTTAATGAAGAAACAATCTGGTAAAGATTTATTAAACTTCCATAATTTTTTTTTGAGGATGCTATAAATAAATTGGATCATGGAATTTTGGCACAGACTTTACTGAAAAGACCACTAAAGTTCATACAGAAGTTGAACTAATTAAAAAAAGATGAGTCACTTAGTACTACAGAATTGGAATATTGCTGAAAAAGGATACACTTTGTCAAAGCTTTTGTCTTGAACTCATTAGGACAATTTGCAAGAATACCAAATCAAGAAGAAAATCAAAATTTAAATTGTAACAGAGGAAGTTGCTGATTGGGTGGCAAGTAGCATCTGACTGGTGGAGGGAATTACCATGAGAAATACATCAATTAGTGATGATTGACAATGAACTGTTAGGCATGGTTTAAATTTTAAACTAGATTGACTCTAATTGCTCAGAGCATTGGGTACTGTAAGGTTGTACTTTCTTTTAGGAGCTGTGTTGACTGTTACCATCCCTGTACAATTCAGTTGTCAGTTTACTCATTTGATCTTAACCCCCCAAGGCAAAAAAGAGGGGAGAAAAGAGCTTGTGAGGTTTATATTGGGTAATAAAAAATGCACAGGACCTAATTGGCTGAAGACAGTTTTCAACCATGGAAAGACGACTGGCAGGGATGTACCAGAAGCCACAGCTGGGGAACAGAAGGCTCTTATGACAGATGTTGCAGGAGTGTGATATAGAAATGAAAGTGAGATAATAAATTTGAGGCTACAGAGGACTCAGAAATATTGCCCCAAATCTTCCTCAGTGGTAAATCTAAAGCTAATGCCACTGACTCTATTTTAGATTATGTTCTTATCATTTTCATACGCTGCAGCTTGTATTCATCGGTGATGCAAGTATCGGGTCCTTGTGGTGTGGCATAGTTGCAGTAATACAATTCCCTCTGTAATGTGACAAAATGAAGGTAGGTCTCTTGAACTCTAGTTTGAATTCAGTAACTTTCATTTTTTCA